TTTGGCTGTGTTATTCTGTTAAGATGACCCGTTTTCAGGGAGTCGAACAGATTTATTTAGATTTAACAGCCCTGGTATTTCAAAGAAACAAGTATCATTAGATCCCAAAGTCTTTTGGAAACAAAACAGGCCCACATCATCATACAGCCTCCACTATGCTTAGTTTCATATTCATTATGGTTTTTTTTTTTTTTTTTTTTTTTTTTTGTTTTTTTTTTTTGCAATGCTTGAACAGAAAGAGCTTTTAAGGGTTCTAAGCATCTAAGGGTTGGTAATGAAACTTAATGAAACCAAGATATAAGTTATTATTTCACTGGCAGTTTAATCTTGAAATCTCATCCGGTCTTGTTTTTTCCACTCCTGATTGCTTTAAACTTAAATAATCACCCTGGCTATAGAAACACTATGAGGAAGTTAAGAAAGCATCCATCTTCTTGCCACCGACAAGAACAATAACATTCTTAAGGTAAATCCACATCTGCTTAGCCTGACAGTTGTACCGTCTTGTCAGGGATACAAATTTAAAGTTTGTAGATACTATTATCAAATTAAACCATTGTTACATTTATTTTTTTTTTTGCAACAATTAATCGGGGTGCCAGCAATCAAAGCAACACATTTGAAGAGGAAAACAAGAGAACGACATGCAGAAAATAACTGAAACAAGCGGGGTCCTTTACAAATAAAGATTGGGTTTATTGTACTCTAAAAGACTGCAGTGTGTCGTTCAAACAATGCATTTCAATTGAGTTAATTTTGACAGTACGATCTATAATTCCAAATAAATATCACAGAATAAATAAGTGTTGCACAGTTTGATGTTTTTCTCTGTAAATGTATTTCTAATGAACCAACTGATATACAATTTGTAGATGCAATCCACACGTACAACATAAACCTTTGAATTTCCTTTACGGCTGCTGGTGTGCCATTCCAAGACCATCAGCCGCCCCTTTAGCAACTTTCTAGAGACACCTATATTTCCCCTATTTCTAAGTAAACATTGACTTGATCTGCAAACACTGGCATGCTTTTTCTATTTTGCACAGCCTGTCTAATGCAGTCATGTATGCATGCTTCGCAGGAGCCAATGGTCTGGCGAACCCAAGAGACTTCCTGTGTCCGGTTGCTTGGTACGAGGACCGCAAAGTGCCCTCTGGCTACACCGTCATCAACAAGTATCAAGGGAAACTGTTTGCCTGCCAGCAGGTACTTATTGTCACATGCGATTCTCCGTGTGCCGCGGCAAGAATTGCCCACGTACACACCGTCTGAGAGCGGACAATCGCTCGTGTTGAACACTTTGCCCTATTACCCTATTTAGGTTTGAGTTTGCTTCAGTAAACACCATCAAAGTGCCACTGTGACTAACAGGAAACGGTCCAAGTGAAGCATGTGATCCATTAGCTGCTCCTGCCGGCTGAATTGCCATCCCTGATGATTTAATATCCAAGCGTTAGCTGTTATCCTTTCACTCGGTTTCCGCCTCGACTCCCTTATGAGTCTTAATCACTTGTAATTAGTTAAGGCATTCTGGTGCCGCAGACGGCGTACCTGCGAGGCTTTGCCTCGCAGGAAAAACCTTTTCACAAGTAAAGCATTAATTTCACCATATTTCACTCAGGAAATGATCCTCCCTCTCCTGAATTTCCCGTTGGGCGAATAATTGGATCGACACATAATGTCTGACAGGACTTTTTTGTTTTGTTTTGTGTGTGTGTTTTTCTTATTTTAGAGGAAAAGGATTTGGGGCTATAATCATGTCAAGCCACTCGGTAATTACCTATACAAACAATATACAAGAGCATGATACTATCTTCTTTTTTTTTTTGAAGCAAAACAGAGCTTTTCTAATTTTTGGAGCCCTTCTCTTCTTCTTGGGGGATTATGTTCTGGGGGTGAGTGAGTGGTGACACTTCGCTCCCAGTTCATTGAAACTGGAGAGTGAGGCTGGAAAACCAAGACGTGGTTGACAGAGGGCCTCATCTCAGGGGAAGATGCTGCCGCTCCTGTCTGGTCCTGCTGTTTTGTTCACCCGCAGAGTGCTAAAATTGCTCAAATTAACTTATTATTTGCTTGACTGGGCCAATATGTTTGTGTTCTGTGTGCATGTGTGTGTGTGCGAAGTTGTTCTCCTTCATTTTTCCTCCTTCCCTCCTCTCCCTCCTTCCTCCCCCCGTCTTTATTTTAATCGAATGTAGGGGAGTTTTCGCAGATGAATGTCCGAGAAATTACCTGCACCAGGGTTTCTCAAAAGGCCATTTTCCACGATAACTGGAGACAATTGGTTGCATAAAGTAACACCTTTTTCTGTTTTTTTTTATATATCTCTTTAGCTATTGTTAGCTACTTATTCTAACTTTTAATTGATTTTGTTTTATTTCAATTTCTTAATTAGAAAAAAAGAAAAACCCCAGCGTATGTGCAGAAACGCCCCGGTGCGCACGCAGGAGCATGGAGGTCAGCCTGGCCGCAGCTTCAGTTGTAATGAACTATATTGATTTCAGAGCTTCTGTTGAATGTCTTTTTCGCAGTGACATTATCAGAACAGAGAAACTATATAAAATTGCTGTGCTTTTAACAATCAAGATAAAGAAATATCTCTACACCCCCACTTGCCGAAGCCCACCCTTCTCCTCCAATAACTGCACCGCGGCGAGCGTCAAAATGCTCAAAGTTTGGGAAAGTTTGATTGTGAAGCCAATTACCCCATAATACCTGGTGCCTCGTTTCACAAAGAACCGGGAGGGGAATGAAAGAGAAGAAAGATTGAAAGAAGCAACACCCTCTTACAATTTTCATTATGGCCATTTTTCCCCCCTCTCTTTATGTCAAGAAGTACTTTTCTTGGAATTTAAGATTACAAAGACATTATTCATTGTTCCCCCCTTCCCCTGTGAAAAGCTCAATTTAACGTCTTTTGTGTTGGTTGCTCAGGTAGGCTTCTCTTATTTTTTTGTTTTGTGCTTTTACACGCAGGATTTCTCTCCATTCAATGTCGTTGCCTGGCACGGGAACTACACACCGTACAAATACAACTTGAAGAACTTCATGGCGATCAACTGTGTGGCCTTTGACCATGCGGTATGTTGGTGACTCAAACAGAGCCCTGGCACTCCGTTTGGGTTTATCCCATTTCCTGACAGAAACATGTATACACTCCTCTCTAGGATCCATCTATCTTCACCGTGCTGACCGCCAAATCCACAAAACCAGGTGTGGCCATTGCCGACTTTGTCATCTTCCCCCCAAGGTGGGGAGTGGCCGACAACACCTTCCGTCCGCCGTATTACCACCGTAAGAACTCAGCACCCACACTTGGTCTGATTGTTTGCGATAACAAATGCTTCCTTCATGAATTATGTACGCCTGCTTTAGCGCGGCAGGGTCACATTTTGCAAATTAATTCGGGTGGAAATGTCACAATGTGCTCTTTCCGAGATATTTTGTGGATTTAAGCAACCCAGCTAGAAGCTAACACATTCATTTACCAGCTAGTGACACACACAGTGTTCCTACCTGGCTGAATGACTCACTTCACACGCCAGGATCTTTTGTCTGCTTTCACCACAGATCTTTAAGGCCATCTAGTGGGGAACCCCGCTCTGTGTTCCTCAACGAGGAGCTGTGTTACACTGCCTCCTGCTTGTTATTTCAGGTAACTGCATGAGTGAGTTCATGGGGCTGATCAAAGGCCATTATGAGGCCAAAGAGGAAGGTTTCCTGCCTGGGGGAGGCAGCCTGCATAGCATGATGACCCCTCACGGCCCGGACGCTGACTGCTTTGAGAAGAACAGCACTGCTGAGCTGAAACCAGAGCGGGTTGCTGAAGGAACCATGGTAAAACTGCATACAGAGGAATTTATATGCATTCAAGATGGGTGGTGATCCTTATGTTGACTATGTCTTTATTTATTCTGGACTTTCTTTAATCCTTAAATAATGTCCTTTAGCAAGTTAAACATTTTCTAAGCAAATTTCTGGCATAATTCTGTTTGGTTATTTGATAAAAATGGTATAGCTCAGTTGAATTTGTGGTTTCTTTGGACAAAGCTTGTTTGAGGTCAGGGCCATTACAGAAGGTTAATGTCCGCCTGCTTTATGCACTGCAGACCCAGGTTAAATATGTAATTGGGGTCTTTTCTGTTGTTCAGAACAATCATTTCCTATAATTTTAACCATCTGGCCCTTAATCTCAGATGGCAGCGTCATGGGGGCTACGTTTATCCGCAGTCCATATCAACATGAACTGAGAGGATACCATCAAGACACAAAGTGTGTCGTTCATACGCAACTTGTTTAGGAATATTTAATCAAGTATTTTTAAGTAGTGCATGCATGTATTTGAATATCCGTGAACTGATCAGTACATATTCAGTATGATTAATTAGATCATATACTGGTGTTCTCTACTCCTTTCAGGCTTTCATGTTCGAGTCCTCCTTCAGCATGGCTGTGACCAAGTGGGGTCTGCAAACGTGCCAGAGACTGGACAAGACTTACTACCAGTGCTGGGAGCCACTGCGCAGCCACTTTAACCCCGACTGGAAGCCAAGGAAGCAGTAGTAAAAAAAAAAACCCCAGCAACTTATACAAAAATTTAGATCAAAATACAGAAGATGATTTTAAAAAAAAATTAAAAAGTGGTTTGTGCAACAACCGAAACTTTTTACTTTTTAAATCACAATTTGCATTCCATGGTGTCATTTTTACTTCTTAAAGTTACAAATTAAAATCATTTGGTGTCATAATACATGCTGGGTAAATGTGCAGAAGAATGAGCTTCCAGCAAAAATGCCTTTTTTAACAAAAACTGTTTGTCACTTTCCCTTATTGTTACAGGTTACTTACAATATGAATTTGATAAAATTACTGATAAACAGCTCTTATTAATGAAACTGTTGTTTCATTAATTCACTTCTTGTGTTTTTGACTTGTAGAACTCTTTTTTTTTTACTTTTCACCACACCACTTCTCCTTTGAAATCAAAGCCACGTAACTGTTGAACAATAATATTTTATTTTATTTTTTTTAATTATAATTACACACAACATTTCGGGGATGTCACAGGAGGAACTTTCTGTACTGAAGCTCAATACGATAAACTGAACTTGCGATTGAGGGTTCCGGCCTTAATCATCTCCTCCTTCTTATCCTGTAAAAGAGACGACAAACAGATGACTGGCTGGTACAGTTTCCATAGCAACAAAGATACATAATTTCCCCCCCACCACTCCACCCCTTCACCTTCTGGACATTTTCCCAACGATGTGCTTTATGAATAAGTATTTTGTGAGTTCAAAGCAGTTTTCTTTTTCCCCTCCACCCAGCAGAGACGAGGGGGAAGAGGCGAGCATGATGGCTCCGGCACAGTGAGACAACGACAGCAAATTTTCGCTGGAACTTCAATTGACTAAGATTTACAGGGTAAATCTCCATGACAATGGGGAGAGAAATGGAAGCGGGGAGATTTCGAACTAAGCATTTATTTTGAATGTAATGCGATCTGTGTCTCAGAAGGAACATTGATTCCGATCGCTTTTTGGTTTGTCTAAAAATATAATTCCCGTGTAGAAACTCAAATTCTACAAAAGGTATGCAGGCAGCAGTAGTGTTCATGTAAACTGTCCGGATGATGGATTTGATTCGTCAGACGTTCTTAGTACGGTAACGTACACAACAAAGTCTCATGCCAACAAAGATAACCAAATTGGTAAAGTAACATGGCAATTAAACATAAATATCAACGGCAAATAACATTTGCACAGCACAAATACTTCATCTTTATATACTGTCCAAGTTAATTTATTCCTTACTTTAAACTCAATATTTTGTTTCGCATATGGCATAAATACATCTTGTATTCATGCATATATCGCATTTTTATTTTAGGAATTTATGTGACAGAAAGCTAAAATAAATAATATGGTAAAAATGTGTTAATGAAATTAATCATAAATTAAAGCAATTTCTATATTTATATCTACAATATTTAAATGAAGCCGTTAACCTTAAAGAATGATGCAGATTATGTTAATATCTAATAAACATTAGACACTTAGGTCCATGGTTGAACTTGTCGGTAAAACATAAAGCAAAGAGAAGGCAGAGGGGCCTCTTGTCTCATACCCTGTCTGTCTTGAAGATGTAGTAGAGGGCAAACAGAGGCACCACTCCAAACATTACACCAAGCAGAGAAGTCTTCTTTGTGGGTCTGAAGTGAGGGTACGGATTGGCTCGTGCGTACACCCACCTCGTCAGGGCAGGGTCTTCCTACAAACACAGACATTTGCAGTGATAAATCAGTTAAAAGAAATATCAGATTAGGATTTACTTAGTCATTTATTTAGTAGACAACAACAGCTTGACTGGTGATGAATTGTAATCAATAAAGTATTTTTTTGAACATGAATGGCAGTAGTCGGAATTATGGGCTCATTTCCCAAATGATTTTGAAACGAAAATTTGTTCTTTTAATATATTATTGTGGGGAAAAAATTGTTTCATGACAACTCCAACTTTTTTTTAGGCCTGTTTTATTTCTGCTGAAAGAAAAATAGTAATCAACACATAAAAACTCAGAGTAAACTTTCTTCAAAAGTAAAAACAATAATAATTATAATTTTAAACAAAATGTGCTTCAACTGAAATAATAATAATAAAAAAAAGAAAATCAAAGATCTTCTTATCAATGTGTTTACAGTCTAAGAATATTTCCAGCTAACTTTCTTCACATTCTTTTTGCAATTTACACACAGGAAATAAATAGTTGGAACCCCTCTGCTAATAATTATGAAGCCCATAAAGGTCACTGAAATAACATGAAACTAGCAAAAAATAAATAAATAAAAAATGACTGAAAATTAACTCATAAATATCAGATGTTGGTTTTAAAATGTGGTTACATAAACCTAGAAAAAAGTAAAAAGAAAAAAAAAAGAAAAAGAAGGAGGCCTGGATAAAAGTAATGCAACCTCTAGAAAAGACTGAAAATAATTTCAACATATAACTGGGATATGTTAAACTGAGGTGTGTCCTATAATTAGCATTACATTGGCTATAAGTTGGTAATGAGTCGGTCTGCCAGTGACAAGTAGTCACTATATTTCTTAGTGACATGTCGTTTATAACATTAAGAAAGGGCCACTGGAAGCGAAGGCTCCAGGAGATTAGAAAGAACAACTTTCTGAAGAAATTTAAACGGGGCCTGCCAAAATGTGCCCGTCAGTTGGAACCCAGCGTTCTGAGGCTAAAAATTAGCATCAATTCTCAGCTTAGCTAACATATAAGAAATAGCATGTGGTTTACTGTCACTGTTATGTTGACCAACGTGAACTGAATCCATTTAGTATGTAAACATAAGTGTGTAAAAACACTTTTGTTTACAGATATTTCATAATTCCTTTTGTTTCTATTGCTTTGTTTATTCATTTGTGATATTTAATTGCTCTTTTCAGTGTTTGGTGCTCATTAGAATTTAAAGTTTATCGATCTTTGACAATGATGTGTTCTTGCATTATCAAGCCATTACCATTATGTTACTTGAAAACGGTCTCAAAACAACAACATTATCATTTATCGCAATAACTTTTGGGAAAATGTAACGGCCAGCAAAATTTGTTGTTATGACAGGATGGTATGAGAGAGATAATCTGTGAAAAAGACCTAGCTTCTTTACCTTTGCCCATGCTAACTAGAAACAACCAATCAGAGCTAGGAGGCGGGTTTTAGCGCTGTCAATCACAATACATATGTTGCTGCTCATCATTGTCCCCCACTTCGTCTCTGCTATGCAGCTGTAGCTAACAGAGAATGTCATGTATGCGCAGGCTAGTTAGCATCACCATAAATGAGAGCGGATAAAACAGTATCCTGTAACAGTAAGTTATTCGTCACATTTAGCAGCATTGATTAAACACGCTTAGAGCTTCATTTAGGCTCTGATTGGTTGGACTTGGTCGGGAGCAGTGCTTTTCTTCAGACTGAAATAGTAGCTCAGGGAGGAGTTGGAGGAAATCAATCTTTTCACAAATTACCTGCCACATAATGTACTGTCACGACATGGTGAGAGTTTTAACAAATATGTTAAACAAAAACCAAACAACAACAACAAACAAACCGTTATATATATATATATATATATATATATATATATATATATATATATATATATATATATAAGTTACATACTGCAGCTTTAAATCAGTTAATTTATGGATCTCGTTCTTTTTCCATTCTATATGGTTGTCTATCGCACGAGATGAAATGACAATAGTCAAATAACCCATATAAACCCATTGAAAATGTTTTTATTTATTTATCTCTGCTCATAATAAATATCTGCTCATACCTCCTTTTCTAACGACGGCCCTCTGAATTACGGCTAGCTTGAAGTTGCTTGGGAAACTTCAACATTCAAACATAATCGTTAGAGCTGCCTTTATAACCATATATAGCAATAGGAAATAAAGACAAAATTAACTCGATACTGAGCACTGTTTGTACAGGTTCGGTCATAACATTTAACCGTCAGTAGCATTTAGCTCTCCTTAAATCAGGGGTGACTTTGGTTGCTAATATGCTAACTTAGCCACTTACAATGAGCTCGGTCCTGTGCGGGTTGTTCAGCTGCAACTGGTACTGCCTCTTTAGGTTGGCCCGCAGTGCTGCCCGCTCCTCCTCTGCACGCCTGTAGTCCGGAGAAAGATTGAAATATTCATTTGGGTCCAGTGTTTTTGGCCGAGTAGCCAAGGGCGCCTCTCGGTAGTCCGCCATGATTGTTTGGTGACGGACGAGAAACGAGAGTATGTAAAATCTCGCGTTGCTAGTCTCGCGTCGTAACCACGACAACGTTCAAAACACCTTTTTTTCCCCTCACAACGTTCAAGTGAGAAGATGAACTCTCCTGAGAAAAATGGAAAAGTACATCTCAAAGAGTCAACGGAGGATGGAGATGGCCTGGAGTGTGCGGACGTTCTAAAAGATGATCAGGGCGTAAAAGAAGGACACGAAGAAGACTTGGAAGCGGCAGAGAAAGCCATCCAGGACCGAGCAGAGGCGGTCGCTTCACTTAATCGGAGGCCCAGCATCACTCACCAACAGCTTTCTGTGTTTGATTTTTTACTGAATTTCCTTTTCCAACACGGCATGATGGGGACTTTGGCGTGTTTTGAAGCGGAATGGTCTGAGCTACTGCAGAAAGGAGAGGTGGATGCGAAGCACATCGACCTGATCCCGAAAGTGTACACTCAGAACCAGCATTTGGCCGGAGAGCTGAAAAACGCTTGGCAGGAGAAGGAGGAGTACAGGCAGGCGGCCGCTGTCGCAGCCGAGGCCCTGCAGAGGGCCAAGAAAGCCAAAGATGCCCACCGGCTGGAGCATCAACGGTTGGTCAGAGAGAAAAACAAACTCATTGAGGACATAAAAAAGCTGAAACTGCAGTGTGAGGGCTACCAGCCTGAAGTAAAGAGGATGAGCGACAAATACCAGGCGTTGTCAAAGCAGGTCCTGCAGGTGGCGCTGGAGAGGGACAAAGCGCTACTCCAGGGGGACAATCAGGCTGCCCGACTGGATGCCGCCTCATCTCAGACCACCAATGAAAGCAATGGTTCATTGAAATAAATCTAACTTCATAACAATGTGCTTTATTCATTATTGGGAATTTTTTTGCATAGGTGACATATAAAGTCGTTGTCGGTTAAAGTTTTCCAATACAGAATATACAATAAATGTAATTATTAATGCAGTGTTTAGAGGAATAATTTTGTTGTCCATCTTGATGCCATGGTTAAAGGTTTACAATCAAAACTTTAAGTTGAAAAAGTTAGAAGAAAACTGTTAGCATTTTCATTTGGTAAGACTTTCAGGTTAATAGTCTGAGAGGAGTTATGCTACAACAAGCTTCTACTGTTTTTTGTTTTGTTTTGTTTGTTTTTTGTTTTGTTTTTTAATAACTACAATCTTTAAAAACCCACGTTAGCAGTAACAGGAACACCATTTCACGAACCTTTACACAATCGCCACACTTTCGGTTACTCAAATAACCTCACAACGACAATAATTAGGAAATGTATTAAACAATTTATCGCAAATGAAAGATAGTATGAATCATGGCCTCTTAAATTTTAACATTAACCAAACACTAAAAAGACATTCACCAAACAAAAAAGAAAACGGAAACAATTACAGGGAACAAAGTTTTGACAAAATAAAAAGCTAAATTTTGCTTTAAAGAAAAAGTTACGTTTTTTGATTTCCTGTATGTAAATCAAGATTAACTGTGTCCATCGTTTCTTTTTATGTTTCACAAACATATTTTGTCTTGTTTTAACAAGTTGAAAAGTTCTGTTTTTAACCACAAGAGGGCGGTAAACATCAAGCTCTGTCTTTTTTTTTACACAGTGGAAAACCCATTCAGAAGTTGCAGCAGCAGAAAAAAAAGACTACATGTAGATTTCAAACGTGATTTCTCTCACATCACTGATGCCTGTAAGACTGTGTGGCTTTGAGTAGAAATACGACTCTGCACAAATACTTTTCAGCTAATATTCCAAAAACAGATCTAAATTACTTTGAGAGGTTTATGAATTTGTTATGAGAATGTTTAACACGGTGTAGTATTCTCCTCCCTGCAGGAGGACCAGGAATTTCTAGCGTTTCCATCGGTGTGCTGTTGTTTTACTGTAGTTTTTATAATGTGCCGTGCATAGCGAGACTCAATCAACCTAAAACCTTTTTTAATATCTGTTGAAGGTGAATAAATGTAAAGTTAAAACACGTTACGGTGTCTGATGTTTTCACACTTTGTCATTACAACCACAATCGTCAATATATTTTATTGTGTTTTTATGTCACAGATACATAGAAACAAGTGTCTTTGTGAGGTGGAAAATGAAGGATGCAGTTTTCAATAAAAAAGAAAATCTTGCACAAATTTGTTTTTAGCCCAATTGAACATCAAATAATCACTTTTCACTGCAGGTACAGTCTTATGAGGTATGTCTCTACCTGCTTCTCACATCTACAGACAAAAAAAAAATGTCCATTGTTTCTTGCTAGATTGCTCAAGCTCAAGTTCTGTGAAAATCAACTTTCAAGTCTTACCATAGATCCTCAATCAGATTTAGGTCTGGACTTTGACTGGACCATTGTGACACGTTGATATACTTTGGGTCTTAATACAAACAGACACTTGACCTTTCAGATTTATATTTCATGTCATTTCTTCTTTCATTTCACAATGACACGCTACTGTGCTTCAATTTACTGTAAAAATGTTAAAATAATACAATAACGTCTTCATTTATAATGGGGTCAGATGTGCAGCGAGAAGAATATTTTTCTAAGGCCCCTTAATACCTGTCTTTGGGATGAATGCTCAACTGAAAAACTAATGATCATTCAAAACACAAAGCAGCGCATGTTCTCTCTCTCAGTTCTTGCAGCCGCTCTTAATTTTGAACTTCATTCTTGGGCAGCGGAGTGGTGCAGAGATGCAGAGAAAACTCTTTGATCCGGGGACTGGGGCACCGCTGCAGTACGTATGATCAAATGATTTATTGTCCTCTTGGGAACGCCAAAGTGCCAGCCTGCTCTGCTGCCCTGAAAGATCTATTTATGACTCTGAAATAAAAATTCAATGTGAGACTACAGTCCGTTCCAGGGACAGATTTAGGATCAGAAAATGAAACGTTAATGTGTTTCTGCCCCGGCCGGTCCTCTTCAACCTCATGGTCGAGAAGCTGAACTACGGAGAGCTTTTGAGCTTCGGGAGCAATTAATCACTGTGTGGTTTATCCCCTCCCTTTTCATCCTCCTCTTCTTCCTCACCTTGTACGTCTTCTCTGCAGAGGATGGGTGTTTAGTTCTTTATCTGTGATTCTGACTGACATTTATTGCCGACGCAGTTATTGTGCAAACTCAACAGAGATAGGGATGTTACTCTGTCTAAGAGATAAGGAAACGAAAAAGCCCCATGTGATTCCTATCTCCGTTCTGTGTCCCTCCGTCAGACTTAATCATACTCTGTAATCTGAGGTTATTTTGTGTTGCTTTGGTTGCTAGTTTTCTTTTTTCAAATGAGCGCATGCAAAACTGACTCAAAAAGGACAAACCAGTTACTTTTTCCAACCACATATTACAGCTACTTCTCTACTCGAAGTTCACTGAAGTGGTTGCTCATAGACAATGACCTAATGTGTACCAGCACGATGCTCTTTGAGGCTCAATCTTCGAAGGCTGCAGTCTGATTGCAATTCATCCCCCGCCTGCCCGACTCTCTGCGTGTTCCTCTCGGCTTCCCTCCCCTGACAGCTCTGTCCACTTTAAAGCTTGCGGTGACCTTTTTATCAATCTGAAGGGAAAGGAGAACAAGGAAGCACTTTTTCTCCTCAACCTTGGCTCGGGTTCATGCAGATGTAGGAAACGTCCCTGCCTTGGCGCACGGTTTCTACCCTTAATCCCATCTATGCAGGCTGTAAATTGTAACTTCCGTTAATTATCTCCCCTCATTTTCCAATCTTTATTTATGCAGTCATTTTATGCCTGTGAGCACCCGTCTTCAAACAAATCAGTTTTTTGCTACGGATACGGGGGCAGCGAGTTTAACTGTGTTATATATTCTGCTTTAATAATGTATGCAGGACACTGTGGCTCGTAGATGTTATTCAGAGACATCAATCATTTTCAAGGAGAGCTACAGAGAAATACTGCTTGGAGACAGAACTGACAAAATCCTGCAAATTTTACTCGGCTCTGCTCACCTTAGCACAAAGACTGTACATCCGATCCCTGTCTGTGTAATGTCAAGGATAAGAATAACTTTGAAGATTACCAACAAAAAACGTTTCCATATTACTGTAGTACGTTGGGCAATGAAAGTAATTGTCAGAGACAAAGTAATTGTTCGACTACACAATCAAATCTTTTAAGTCTAGTTGTTTTAGGCTACAACAAAATCAAAAATTGGCAGAACATCTACAGAATAAGGAAATATGCACGTCACTTTGCTAAATACAATCTTTACTCTAGAGAAATGTTTGCTTGGTCCTTTAAAAAATAACTAATTTTAGCCACACCCTTATTGAAGCTTGCGAACAAACTGTGGCTATGTATGTTTATGTATGTTTTTAAAAACTGTGACTTAACAGTGTTAAAGTTATCTTAAACAATGTCATAGAACTTTTTGTTGTACATAACAAAAAATAACTGCTACATGGAGTTCCACATGGTTCAGTAATTGAGCTGATACTTTTTAACTGGTGCATTCAAGTAGAATCAATCCCCAGCATTAGCATTTGCATGCTGGTGAGAAAGCTTTATCAGTCTGTGAGGTTACCTGACATCTACCATTTACCAACAGCACAACTGAACATGAAGGCCTGAAATATCCATAACTATGGAATAAACAGAAATGATTATTTCCGACCTTCTAGAACATTATATTAACATACTATTCTCAGTTTCTGTTCATGGTACAGTCTTGGCTTCAAGTTCAATTGTAGGAAATACTTTTGACTAACATATTTCCATCACCCAACAGAACCTCCGGACCTCAAAGTCTTACTTCCGGCTTTCTTCCGCCTACGCAACATTACTAAAATCTGAAGCGCTGTTGTTGTGTTGTGTAATACTACTCCACTCCATTAGGTGGAGCCGCTGACATGAATGAATGAGAAACGGTTGGAAGAGTAAGAGATAGAAAGAAAGATAAGAGATAGAAAGATAAGATAAGAGATAGAAAACGGCATTGTGCTCGTTCGGTGAGTTGTATTTGCTGTGCTACGTTAAATAAATGCGCCGAGTTGTTCGAGAACGTGTCTTGTTTCCACACAATGGACTCTTTGCACCTCAGCTTCCGCGTTCGGGGAAAAGCGGCTCGATTATTTCCGATATATTGAAAATGGCCTTTTACACTAGGTGCTTGCAGGACTTGGCCAAGGTTTGTACATCGACCCAAAGCCCCAACAAGTAAACTGGAGAAAGGTTTTAAGACATACGCCTCGTTATACATTCACTGATACGAAGGTAAGTTTTACTTAAACTTTGTGGCTAACCTTAGCTAATCGACTCTAGTTTAAAATCTACTACACCTAGAGACTTGAAACTTGGACTGGATTATTCTCCGCTTCAAGCTGAATGAATACCATGTTTGGGATTTGTGAAACCCTTTTCTGATTTGTGAAACTTCAATAAAGCTTGATTATCATCATTTTTTGCATCTCTTTCATACTAGAACTGCTCTAATTAAAAAACAACACCTAGACACTTGAAACTTGTACTAAATTATTCTGCTCTAACATCAGAATATTTACAACCATGACTGTGATTTGTGAAACCTTTTTCTGATTTGTGAAACTTCAATATAAGCTGATTTTCACAATTTTTTGGCATCTGGATCGCCTTAGATCTGCTCTAATGAAAAAACGACAACTCCTAGACAAGTTTCAC